TTTCTGGAGGAGGATCGACGTTTGATGTCGAGCAATGGCATTGGTGTGCGGGCTACGACATGTTTGGGCCATCTTATGTATAGGTTGCCGACTGCTGCATGTAGAGATTTTGGATCTGGTGGAGCTGCTTCATATTTTGGGTTGCGTCGGATGTTTGGCTACCCAGCACTTGGTCACATCGTGTATGTGAGATTTGATCCGATAACACATTTGGGATTCAGATGCGTGTTTGATTATCAGGTATTGGCTTCTGATTTTGTTCTGAGCAGGTATGTCATGTTTAACTCTCGGCAGGTGGAGAGTGGTGATCAGATCTTTGGGACATCGCAGCGGGTGGAGAGTGATGCTACTCCACGTTGGGTGGAGACTCCAGATCATACTGTATCATTTGGAATTCCAGCTGAGGTGACACATATTGGGGATCATTTGGATTTGGATGCAGATGATGAGTTGGATTCGATTGCAGCTGATGGACTTAATTTGGATACGGCCATTGGTTCACCTCAGATGGAGGTGTTTGATTTGTCTCAATTTGGAGCTATTGGGAGTGCTATCAGTTGCAGATCGTTTGGTGATATTGAAGAAGAGTTGCAGACTTTTCTATTTGATTGAGGGCCTTTGGAGGCCATTTGGGTGAACTACGTTTACGTTCGGCTTGATTCCTTGGGCAAGAGGATACGTAGGCAGTCTTTATGATGCAGCCGGGTTTGGATTTGATTCCTTGGGCAAGAGGATACGTAGGCAGTCTTTATGATGCAGCCGGGTTTGGATTAGTTGATGGGGATAAGATTGATTTGGTGAGCGACATCGACATTTGGGGTGAGTGTTTGCACTCCCATTTGGGTCTCAGCAAGTGAGGCATTTGGTGTAGTCGGTGTAGGCTCAGTTTGATTGGTGAGTAGACACTATTTGGTTTGGGTTGAGTGTTCGCACTCCCGTTTGGGTCTCGACTTGTTGAGGATGGAGTCCGTTGTCATGAGTCCGTTGCCATGGCATACTGGAGGCAACAAGTGAGGCATTTGATTTGGTTGGTATCGGCTCAGTTTTGAAAAAACTTCACCGATGTGGAGAATTGTGAACGTGGGGGCCAGCGGAGCAAAGAAAAGAAATGTGGGGCACCACATGTGTGAACAAGAATGCAACCTCGTTTCCGCGTGAAGAGAAGAAGTGGGCCAGACCCACGTGAACACAACCCGATTGCTTGATTGCTATAAAAGGGCACCTAGGGTTTTTTGTTTTGAGTGCGAAGTGAGGGGGTTCTTTTGGCGGCGACAAAAGAAAAGTGCAGAGGCTGTGCAGGAGTGCAAGCAGGTCTTGTTTTTGCGGCTGCAGGTGAAGAACACAGAAGAGATTTTTGCGGCTATTCATAGAGAAGAAGCAAAGTCTTTTTGTAGTTGTTCTTTGATTTGTGCATCCTTTTGAGAGAGATATTTGTGTGAGGGATCTGAGAGTTTGTGAGAGGGTTTAGATTGTGAGATTGTAAATCCTAGTTGTATCTCTCCCTCTAATAGTAGATCTCCCCCCTCCTTGCCCCGTGGACGTAGGCAATTTGCCGAACCACGTAAAATTTGTGTTCTTGCCTTGATTTGTAATAGCTTGTAGGTTCCCTCGACGCGCAGTCCTAGAGCTGACGAGAGGAAGAGCTGATATCTCACTTTGATGAGATATCTGGTTTTTTGGTTCTTGTTTCCTTTGAGAAACAAGAATTTCATTGTGATCTAATCTCTTGTTGTGCACCTTGCGCACCGGAGGTGCTGCCGAAATTTCCGCTGCGCACAACAGTAACTCTTCAGCAGAGTTGCTAGAGTGTCTTCGTCAGAAAGTGATGGGCCTGAGGTGGTCATCTTCACTGTTGTAACAGTTGTTGAATAATTTGTATATGCTTTCTTCGACCTTGAAAAGAAGAGTGCTCTTTTTAGAAGAACCGAGCTCTTTTTCAAGAGCTAAAACCTGTCTCGAAGAGTATACCTTTGAGAAATGAGTACAAAAACTCGATAAAGAGATGAAGTCAAGCTTTGAAGGGACTTAGCTGGACAGCCAACTATGATGCGGAATACAATGTTAAAATGGAGTGAAGAAGGCGAGGAGGAGGGATAAATCTCAAACCCCGAGGGAGCTTAGATTGACGACAGAGAGCTAAGAACAAGCTTAGGTATATCTCAACAAGGAACAAGTTAGCTTGTGCCTAAACAAAAAATTATCGCATACGAGTACATAAATAACATGAATTATATCTCAAGATGGTAAGAACAAGCTTAGGTATATCTCAGACATCAAAAAGTACAAGTACAGAATCATAGAAGTCTAAAAATTACATCAAATACGATAAAAACACGAGAATCTGTATTTATAGGGCCTAGAGTCGACTATGTATGAGTTTGGTTAATCACAATAATGTTGATTGAATATATTGCTATTAATGGCAACAAGAGGATTGATTTTTACATTTTATTAATCACAATATTTATATGTAGTTATTAATAGTGTTAATCAATTTTTTCTTTCTCCAGACCATATAATAAATGGCGGAAAACAGAGATTGGATGTATATCGCTCCAAGAGTGAGTGTGGAGTTCATTAATAATGTCAATGACTTTCTTGAGAGAGCATTTGCTAATGGAGCAGTAGGGGATGAAATATGTTACCCTTGTCGCATTTGTTGTAATCGTTTTTGGTATAGTCGCGATGTTGTTTATGATCACCTTGTCTCAACCAATAACCCTCTAGAGGGGGTTAATCAAGTTGAACTCAAAACTAGAAATATGATAATTTATGAGATAAAATTTTATAGTGTTAGTCAACTAGAACTAAAATTAAAAAATTTTACAGTGTTAGTCAACTAGAACTCTAGCAAAACTTGAACTAGGATAATTGTACAAAAATATCCCTATTTTTATTTTTCTATAAAAAAAATTATAGTTCCAGTTTTTCAAATTATCCCAAGTTTTAGCTTGAAACTAGGTGATAAGTAACTAGAACTCCTATTTATTTTATTATTTTTTATATTTCTTTTTTCTTTACTTCTTTCCTACTATGGTCATCACCATCATTAGACTATGCCGTCAGATCAGATCTCGACTCATCTTAGTCATTTCTGATAATTTCTTTTCATCAAATATTATACTTATATAATTAATTTAAAAGTAAAGATTGTACCAATCCATAATTTATTAAACAATAAAATTGAGAGAAGGAAAATGTGGATATTTTTTTCTTGATGTACTATGGTAACAATTAAAAAATAAAAAGGGTACAATATGTGTTATAATAATAATTCAGTATCTTATAGTCTAATCAAAAGTTATTTAATAGTAAATAATATTCTCGTAAGTAATTATTAACCAATAATAGTAAGTTTAAAAATGCATAAGTGGCATTTATATCCTCATAAATGCATAAATATATACTTCATGATTATAAAAATTTATCCCATGTTATTTTATCAAATAATCTCGTTTTACAAAATTATTCCTATTTATTCCACTAAACTATCCCACTAACAAAAAGTTATTTCGCTTTAACAATTATTCCACTTTGCATGTAAATGTCTCAATTGACTAACACCCCTTAAGGGAAATGCAGAGAATCGTGATTGGATCAATTTTTTAGTCCAGGTTTGATGAGCTAGTGAAATCTAATCCATTGATCATAAAGAGGACAATTTGATATTGGACGGTTGAGATTGGAGATTATTAGAAGATCATTTTTGTTTATGTTGGGCCTGGTTCGATCACTGGGTTTTAGGCCCAAAACACAACGTAGTCTCTTTTTCATTTGTTAAGAAGCTAGTTCATGCATTAGAGCAAGATTAGTGAAGAAGAAAGAAAGCGCCAAACATTATTGAGCAAACTACGTCCCCTGGTTTCAAAAGTATACGCCAAAAGATTTCAAAGGATGAAATATGCATCCATAAAAATGTGGCTGATTGCTAAATGAGAGAGAATGTAGATCAAATCTAAATTACTGACAGAAGAATTATATATATGTACATGTTTCAAAGTCCAATAACTCAAATAATGATAAAAACAAAGGGCAAAGTTAAAAAAAATATGCAGTTCATCTAATGAATTAGAGCTGGGGACCACTCAAATTAGACAAGATCGATATTGGAGTTCTTACGAGATTCTTATTGTGTGTTGAAAATAAAGAAAATTTAAAATATATAATATTACAAACTGAAACTATTGACGATTTTTAAACGGTGTGTTTGGATGCTATAGTGAGTTTATTGTTATGTTTAAATTTAATTAATAATTACGATTTATTTTAAACAAAAAATAAAAAATTATAAAAAAATATTATTAATTGTAATAATAATTGAGTCGTCAGAAATCATGTTGAATGCTATCATTAAAATAAGTACCTCTTACATGAAAATTGTGTAGTGGGCGAGGATAAGGAGGAGATTGATAAGCGTTGTTTTTTTCACTGAAAAGACTGATAGATGTGTGGAATGAATTGGAATTGTCAAAAATTACATTCTTCCTTATCACAACTATAGAGTTCTGATGTAATGGTTGGGGACTTTGACATACTACCATAGCAACCTAGGTTTGATTTCCATCGGTTATGAATTTAAAGGATTCTCAAAAATCGATACCACTACACGAGTCATGGCATTTGTGAATGTCTAGGCATACAAAGCTTTATATTCTACTTCTTTGTTTTTAGAAAACTAAAATTATGTGCTTTTTTTGTCTCCAGAGTATATGGTATGATGGATAAATGTTTTAATTGTCCCGGTTTTATTGCTAGGGTGCTTTATTTGGATGATCTGGCTGTCTCTAGTAATTACATCATCCATTGCAGAAATTAAAATGCCTCCTTACTCTAAAACCGCAATATAATAATCAATATTTCAATAAAACTTATAATTAGCGGGCAATTTCTGTCTTCCTATGCCTACATTTTCCAAGTCCACCCCAGCGGGGACATAAAAAAGCAATAAACAAACAAAGTTTTAAAGCAAGAAACTAATCATTCGCAAAAGCCCAGCAATATTTGTTTCAAAAAGCACCACGCTCAATCTTTCACTTCTCATTACCGTCATCACCCTATTCATAAACTCCCATTATCCTGCCATTTTCATCTATCCAAACCAAAACTAGCTGTCCCCACAAAAAAAAAAAGAAAAAAAATAGAAAAAAAGAAAAAAAAGAAAGAAAGAAAATACAGTATTTTTTTGTTTTCCTCCTCTTTTTTCCCCCGCCTATGCCTTGCCCAAATTTACACCTACCCGCCCCCTACAAACCCCCATCGCCCGGCGGCAACCCGACACTCCGGATTAACACAGAACTCGTCACCTCCATCACCGCCGTGAATAACAAAATGACCCAGCTGCCCACGGTGGCCACCAAATTCTCCCCGCAAAGGAACTCTCCTCGCTGCAAACCCTCTCCACCTCCTCTCGAAATCGTGCACCATAACATCCGTTCTCCCTTCGCCGCAACCTTGGACCTGGCCATCACCCCCGCCGTGAAAATCGCCGCCATCCTCCCGGAGACTCCGCGCGAGTACCCATCTCGGCCCGTCACCAGGATCACGTGCCCACGCCACGTCGTAGCAGCTGGTTCGGCCAGGTCGTTGATCCCAGCGCTTGCAGTCGCGAGAACAGAAGGTTTGGACGGGTCGGCAGTCGCCGCTGAATCTGGGACCTCGCCGAGGACAGAGGTTGCCGAGCTCGCTGACCGTTGTGGAGTAGCTGACGTCGTAGGCCTCGAGGCCGCGGTGGCGGTCCTCGAAGTGCTTGATGTAGTACTCGCTCTCGTCGAGGAAGACGGTGCGGCCGCCGTGGTTGAGGGAGCGCCAGAGGAGGGTCTCGAAGCCGAGGCCGAAGACGAGGCGAGGTTGCAGGGGGAGCGGCGGCCGGATGACGGCAATGGGATGGCGCGGAGGTCGGCGTCGCCATGCGCCGCCTCCGGCGCGCGGAGGCCGAGGGATGGCGTAGTGGAGGAGGTGCGTCGTGGATGTGGGAGCCGGGGGGGAGGCGCAGCGAGGAGGAGAGTGTGGTTGATTATGTTGATGGCTTCGGTCGCGGTTGCGGTGGTCAGGAGAGTGAAGAGGGAGGAACGAAGGTGAAGAAGGAGATTGATGGCGACAGGCAGAGGCGGTGCGGTTGGAGATGAAGGACGCGGAGGACTGCTGGTACCTGTGGAGGGACGGCTGGAGGAGGATGAGCTTGGCGTTGCTGAGGCCTCTCATCGCTGCGCGTGAACGACGGGGTGGCGTCGATAAGAGAGGATGAGGGAATAAGTTATGTCGCGGAAGCAGGATCGATTGGATCTGTCCGATATGGCGGTGTTTGGTTCGAGTATTTATCTCACGAGAGAAAACGAGAAGGAGGGGGCTGAGTGAAAAAGGGACTCGGTAACTAGAGGTGGGGCCCCCATGCGCGGGGTGGGGGAAGGTAGACTTCCTTTTCCGCCGGTGGTGATGTCAATTTCAGCAGCTAATGTTGCTGCGTTACTCCACTCCTTGGCTTACTGTATGTTCAAGACAGTGGCGAGGGGTCTTGACCACACTTGGACGGACTTGATGTGCGCCCAAGCGGTAACCATCGCATGTGAATTGATAAAAGGAGAAATTGGTGTGGCTTTTAAATCCATCAGAAATTTATACGGGTCGTACCATAAAGATATAAAATGCTTATATGTGTGTTATATGGTAAGTTCTCATGTGTCTATCTATACTATCAAAAAATATGACTGAACGAACACAAAATCATGTGTTTATCTAAGAACCCTTATCAAATTAAAACTATCCATAATTAAAAAATTCTAATAATCTAACATTTTGTGTAATCTTATATTTAAATATAGAAATTAAAGAAAAAAAATTCATGTATTCTTTGCATAAAATTATGGGTCAATTTTAGAAAACCCTCCTCAACTATTTTACTCAGGAAAAGCCCCCTTCATGTTTGGGCATATATTCTACGTGTTGTGCGCCGTACGAAAGTGTGCTCGCAAACCAAACGAGTCGACGAGCGATAAGAGAAGAACCAAACACGAGTGCAATTCCCAGATAAAGGCCAAAATCTAACACAAGCACAGAGATTTACGTGGTTCGACAATTGCCTACGTCCACGGAGAGAAGATGAGGAGATTTTACTATATGGAGGAGAAATACAACGGGTTATAACTCACACAAACTCTCAAATATAAACCCTAACCAAAGATCTCAACTCCTACACAATATCTCCCTCTCAAAGTGCTCAAAAGACTCAACAATCTCTAATATATTAACCTTAGAAATCATGTTTGTATTTATATCAAATACCAAACCAAAACTGAACAGGAAACCAAAACAGCCCTAGAAACCCGACATCGGTCGACTGATGTGAGACATCGGTCGACTGATGTGAAACATCGGTCGACCGATAACATGCACAAAAAACTGCTCACAATTCCATCAGTCGACTGATCGCCTATCAGTCGACTGCGCAGAAACTTTTTCATAATTCCAGGGCTTTTCTTTGGTCGACTGATCTTGGCATTAATCGACCGATGACACTGTTCACCGAAAACCTGGTTTTCAAACAATTCTCCACCTCGGCAAAGTGTTCTCAAAACTGAGCCGACACGAACATGAGCACCAATGCCTCGTCTCTCCAAATCCGACTGCACCAATTTGGTTGCCTACGTACCCCCTCTCCCAAGGGATCAAGCTACCCGTAGTTCATCTAAATGGTCGAGAACGACCTCAACAAGCACAAAACTATAACAACCTTCTACAATAATTGAACTTGTTGCTCGGGACAACCTTCGTGAGCATATCCGCTGGATTATCATTTGTGTGGACCTTCATGAGCTCCACATCCCCATTTTCAAGAACATATCGAACAAAGTGATAACGGACGTCGATACGCTTCGTCCTCGCATGATAGATCTGATTCTTCACCAAATAAATAGCACTCATGCTATCACAATAAATAGTGACGGATCGTTGTGAAACACCAAGATCCTCCAAAAGTCCTTGAAGCCAAATTGTTTCCTTAACAGCCTCCGTAATCCCCGTATACTCTGCCTCCATCATCGATAAATACCATAGACTGCAAGGTGCATCTCCAACACACCGACGCTCGAGTCAAAGTAAACACATACCCTATCGTCGATCGACGTTTATCCAAATCTCCAGCGTAGTCCAAATCTATGTATCTTATACATAGCTACCCACTGCTAGTGTCCCGCTTAAAAACCAAACCAACGTTGAGTTTACCTTGAATGTACCTTAAAATCCATCTCATGACATCCCAATGACCCGGACTAGGGTCGTGCATGTATCTCGAAACCATGCTTACTACCTGTGACAAATCCAGCCTCGTACAAACCATGACGTACATAAAACTTTCCACTGCGCTCGCATATGGAGTCTTCGATATCAACTCTCTACCTTTAACTATCTTCGGTGAAAGGTCAGCTAAAAGCTTCAAATGGGCTCCCAATGGTACACTGACTAGCTTCCTCTCCATGCTCACATTGAACTGTTGTAGCACCTTCTTCAAATAAGCTACCTGTGTTAAATAAATTTTATCCCTATCTCTATCTCTGTCAATCTCCATCCCCAAAATATGCTTCACTTCACCCAAATCCTTTATATTGAACTCTTTCGAAAGCTGTACCTTCAACTTATCTGTTGATGCTCGTGAACAAATAGTCGATGGGGGTTTCCCGCTGTCGGATGCAGTTTTGATCCTGGTGACGATAGGGAAGAAGGAGAGGATGAATGTTGGGCCCGACTCCTCCTCCGACTTTATGACCGATCCTGAGCGCGCGGGGTGGACTGATAGCCTGCACATGCAAGAATCGCAGGAATACGGGGCTAGTTTCCCCCGTGGTACCTCCAACGGTCAAGTTAGTTGATGAACTTGGGGAGAGTTTTTTAAGAGGCCCCTGGGCCATTGAGGTCCTTACAGGGGGTTTTTCCTCGAGAGTTATAAAAATGCTCTTGATGTAAAAAGAAGAAGATCCCAAAGGGGAGTAAAGCTCAAGTGTAAGAAGAAACAGAGAGCCCCCTCCACTACTTACCCTTCCTACCTCCTTTATATAGTCCATAGCCTCTGAGACTTTTGGTTTTTTCTCTTGCATAGGAGGGCAGTTGCAGGGTGGGCAGATAGACTGCTGAGTTATCCTTCTCCTTCCAGATGTCGACTGACGATTGGAAGGGAGGTCATTTGAATACAGGAGAGGATTGTCCTCTCAGTACCTGGGTTTGTCAGAAGAGGAAGGGTGTAGGATAGGTCGGTTGCGTGACCGTCCTTCTCTCTCTAGATGGTGGCTGGTGATTGGAGGAGAAGTCATTCGTGTACATAGAACCATCATGTCAATCTTCTGGGAAATGACTTGTAAGCCGAATAAGCGGCGGGGCACGAGGGTTGTCAGAATAGAGATCTTGATGGGGCTAATCAGTACTGTTGTGTTGATTGACATCTGAAATGATCTTGGTCAGTTCTTATCCCTTTGGCCGAGGTGGGTTGATCTGCAAGCCATCGTTATGATTTGGCGACCCGATAGTCGTGTGAGCTTCGGGTCGGGTGTATAGTCGAGTCGTCTGCTTGAGGAGTCGTCTTAATTGTGAGGGGGCGACTGATCCACACTTTGAGTCGGTCATGATGATCTGTTGATCGAAATATGGCTTGTCTGCTGGTCTGGTCGAGGGACTTGGCTCTGACTAGGCTTTTAAGCCTCTAAGTTGATTTGGACCATAGCTCTCTTGGGATTATGCAGACATTCTCCCGATATTTCTATTTTATTATAGTGACCGACCATAACAGTTGGCCCCTTTCAGTCGGAGCTGACTTTGGTCAGGTCCGAGTGAAAATAGAAATGAGTTTTCTCACTATATTTAAAATTTTCTAGCCTGTTGATCGTGGCTTAGAAATGTGGCATGGGATGCGCTTAACCGCTAATCTTTTGTAGACTGATGTTGTCGGTTTTGGAAACTAAATTTTTAGAGAAGACGAAGCGTCGTGGGCAGAATAAATAGCGCTTCTTTTGCCAATTAATTGGCGTGAATTATGAGCGACGGTTGATGTTTCGAGCAGTCCATTCCAATTCTCAAAGTAAATCTTCCTTGGTTGCTCTAAGGGTGTGATTTTTGGGCTCTGCATGCTTCTTTAGAAGCTTATAAATAGTTTCCGCTACCATTTTACGAGAGCACTCTTTACCAAGAATATTTCTCTTCGTCAATCCCTTGACTTCTTAAGAGATTTTATCATGGCTCTTCCACAGAATGACCGCGGGAAGAAACCCAGGGTCTTGTCTCTCTCCAGGTCGAGGATGACTCTGGACGAAGCCAACTGGTTGCATGACCAGTATGACATTTCTCGTGTGACCATGACCATAGGGGTGCCAGAAAGCTTGACTCTAGTGCACATGCATGGTGAGGACCGGGTGCCTCTTTATTGGGCGCATCTGTAGTGTGGGCTGCGCCTACCATCACATCCCTTTGTAAGGGAAGTCTTTACGGCTCTGGGGGTTTCCCCCTGCCAGTTCCATCCCCATGCCATCTATATTTTGATGGTGTTTATAGATGTCTGCTCCGAGGTAGACGTGGTGCCCTGCCTCAATCTGCTTGGGCACGTGGTTAGTGTGGGGTCTGCTGAGGGCGATCCACACTATTTTTTCGCTATCGGGGTGATTTCTGCTTAGACTCCAATCTCCCTAAGCTAGACGAGGAATTGAAGATTTTCTTCATCTGGGTGTTCAGCACCGACAACATACTATCCTGTTTGGGTTGGCCCGAGGTACAGGATAATGTGTTGGAGCCAAGGGCCCTTAACGATCTCACGGCTGGAGATCTTGAGAAGCTCCGGTGTCGCCTCGGTCTTTAAGAGACTAAAACTTTGGACAGAGAGGAGTCTCCTGAGATGGGGTGGTCCTCCTCATCCTCCTCTGATCCCGAAGCGATGGCCCTTCCTCCACCAATGGAGGTCTATAAAAGAGGGGCTGACTTGGAAGGACCGAGTTCTCCCAGGAGGCCTTAGAAGAAGATGAGGAAGGACCCTGGGGACAACGGCGCTGAGCCTTAGAAAAATTTCTTCTCCTCTTTTTTTTTGTAAGCCTGGTCAGGCCTTTTGGTAAAGAATGTACAAAAACTCTTTTCTGAATAAGAAGCAATTTCTTATATCTTCTGCTTTTGAGAACTGCA